ACTAGTTACTAGTACTAGTATGTTGTCAGTGTACCCTGAAATGATGCAATCACAGCGAACGTGATACATGCACATCATGTTGCCTGGTTCTTGGTTAAAAGTTGTATCCTCAATGCTTGAGGTTTGTGGGGTCCCTCCAGCTTCTCAGAGTCCTGCACAAAAAAGATAAAAGCAAGTGCAGGTAGAATAATTAAAGCTCACATAAAACCTCTTCGTCTTGCTAACAAATTTCGTGATTAAATCCACAGCATGGGAACGAGGCTACAGGAAAAAAAGTTCAACCATAATAATGCAAAAAGGCAACTTTAGCTAATCATATTTTTTGGCAGCAACACTATACTGTTTGTATAGGAGAGTTGGCTTGGTGCATTCATGCCAAATGAACTCCCTATAGTATTGTATTACTGTACTTCATCATTTTTCTTGAGCATTCATTACCAGTAGCCCTAATGTCTTCTAACAGAGTGCGCAAGGTACTGCATATTCGGCGCATATTTTATTTTCGGCTAATATCGGCCTGTGCATTTTTAATTCGGAAAGTGGTGGACATCACGCAACTGAATTGTAAATAAAAGGGGTTTGTCAACTGACAACCGCATACTTTTTCGACATCACCAATAAAAGAATTTTGCGTCCAGCGCATGCGCCAGGAGTGAATAGCAACTGAATAGAGCGGTTGTCATTTATTTACTAGAGGAAACGCAAAAGGTAACAAGATTACGTAACCAAAGGTGAGAAGGCACTGAGCGAACTGTCAACCTACGAATACAACCTCAGTGCAACAACGTGCTCTTTCTGCTTACACAAGCAGAAAGAGAAAGAGCATGTTGTTGCACTGAGGTTGTATTCGTAGGTTGTATTCGTAGGTTGACACTTCGTTCAGTGCCTTCTCCCCTTTTATTTACTGGGCATTTGTAGCCTAAAATTTGTTTTGCAAGGTTCAATGTGACAGTGTATACAGGCATCAGCAGCACAGGCTGAAATTTCAATGTGGCCGAGATGTGTTTTTGCCTTGGGGAGGCTGCAATTTAAAAGCGTCGGCAATTTGCATACTTTACAACACAGTACTGAGCATGCGGTGAGCTGATGATGAAATGAATTGGAGGTACTAATAATGCTAAGGGATTCGGGGGCGCATCAAAGGGGTCAGCACCAAGGAATGGGATAGATTTTTGCCCAGTTCGGGTATGTATATTGGGTATAGAACGGAAATTATTGGCTAAGCCTCGGGCGACTCCTACCAGTATTGCCACCAATGGCCCATGGCTACTGATCTCTGTGATAGAAATGTGACGTGTATGTGAAACCAAAATATGACTTTTCAAGATGTACATGTACTGTAAGACACGCTGTTATAACGAGTCGCAAATTTAACGATTGTCCAAAATTCATAGGTTAACGAGAAGATATGTTAACAATTTTGCAGTATTCTGCCATATCCACACACAGCATATATGAAGCAGTACGGCCTCAACGGATCTATTATAACGAAGAAATGTCATCCGTTAAAACGTTAGATTTGCTTCCTCGTTATTATAATATATACTGTAAGACATGATTGTATATTATAAAAATTAATCATGTCTTACAGTATGTGCATTTTGTGAAGATCTGATGTAAGTCATTAGGGACACCTTGTTGGGTCTTGCCAACATTCAATTATTATGATGTTCATATCTATGCAATGACGTTAATGGAATTATCAGCAAGAATCAATAACCCCAAGAGTATGCAGCTTTGCACATGGAGTCTGCCACAACACGTTTACCAAAGTACATGAACCTAGACACGAGCTGAGGAATCAGCTGAGCTGCTGCATCATTTATGATCTGCTATAGTTTCCAGTCTCCATGGAGGTTTTTCTTGGAGACGTCGAATCTACAGTATTAGGTGTGAAACTGTTGTACTAAACCGCAGGAGATAGAATTTATTCAGCTCGGACAACATTTCACAAGCACGCCGATCAAAGCTTGCTACACTCCCGTTTAGTCAACTTAACGGCCCAAATAATGCTTGGGTCATGAACTCATCGCTGTTGGTCTTTCGAGGGTGCCTGACAATGGTTGTTAGTGCACAGCACCAGCCGGGCCAAATGACAAGATCAGAGACATAGATCTTCCTAGTTCAATTGCTGAAAGGTGACTTGTGCAAACGTTATGTAGCAAAAGGAACTGTACTATGGCACTACACGCCATTCACAATAATCAAAAATGCCCACTTGACAAAACAGAATTTCATCAACGGAGTCCCGGGATTTTTCTTCTGTACATATGCATTATAAAGTCATAGCATAAGGGAGACGGCACGGTAGACTTTCAGCCTAAATCATAACGAGGGCCAGCTGGGCAGCTCAAAAGAGAGCTCTATGCACTATTAGCAGAGTGGTATACATGAATAGAGAGTGACCACCCAGTGCATGAAGCTTTTCGTGTCACCCTAGAAAATTTCAAAAATCAATAATGTGGGTTCAACCCTGGGCTGCCAGTGACAGTTGCCCTAACTGCCTTAGGGGCAAGTGCGATACATACATGCTCGCATATAGCATCGCTTGACTGACCCATGCTTGGGGCCAGTGGGTCAAGTCCGCAATCACGAGTTGCATAAACCACAGATCATGTAGAATCTCCATGGATCCAATCTGTGTACTGTAAAAGCAGAAATTTTCGGTGGTGTAATATTTTCGGAATTCTCCAAAATCGGCGATTCGGTGGAGGGAAATTTTCGGTAATACCCGCTTTCCAGGTAAGGGTGCTAGTACCACTAAGTAGTACCGAAAAAGTTCGGTGCATTTTTTCGGTAAAAATTGTCGGCACCGAAGTTACCGAAAATAAAACACCACTGAAAATTTCCGCTTTTACAGTACATCATTTTGGGTATCATGATCTCGTGTTGTTTCCTTGGGTGCTACGACTCCCTGACATGCATTGATCCATGGAACGGTATGAATTGGGCGATTTCAGCCAATCAGTAGACGTTCTGAGAGTGGTATATTCAACGATACACCCCGCTCAGTTCACAAGGGTCGCGCCAAGAGTGAATATTAGAAGGAGTCTTGGGAAAGTGCCCTGGGAGAAATGGATTGCACCATTCTATACATGTACTGCATTCCCCATAATTTCCTCGTGCTATGTCCTCAGGAAAATATTTAACGTAGACTCTTCATATACTCATAGAATAATCCAAACGTATCTGCAGTCAACCACGGGTATAACAACCCACGGATAGTGACACTATCTTCAGACCTAGTAACAATATAGCCGTATATTTTCAACCCCGTGAATGACGACAACTCCCAAATACCAACACTTTTCTCATGCCCGATCAAGGGTCGTTCGTTACCGGCAAAGTTAGCTGGATATGATGTCATGTAGTCATTATTACTTCAGGCAGGGACAATGAAATACCCCCCCCCCTTTCCTGCAGAGGGAACAGTGCTGTGTCCAGGTCCGCATGCAGCATGGAGGTGCTAGTAAGTCACTGGCATTATTTTCTCTTGTGGATCGATGTACAGTGCGTGACAATGCTTCCATAACGTTAGTGGTGGTGGTGGTGGCGGGAGCATACTGCACTGCAGGGCATTACAGCACTGGCATACTATTATTTTCTCTTGCAGACGTGCCGTGCACGACAATGCTTCTATAATGGTGGTCACGGTGATGGTAGTGGTGGCGGTGTGGTGGTGGTGTGGTGGTGGTGGTGGTCACAGTGGTGGTGTGGTGGTGGTGGTGGTGGTGGTCACAGTGGTGGTGGTGGTGGTCACAGTGGTGGTGGTGGTGGTCACAGTGGTGGTGGTGGTGGTCACGGTGCTGCTGCTGCTGGTAGTGGTGGCGGCGGTGGTAGTTGCGGTGGTGGGAGCATTCTGCACTGCAGGGCATTAAAGCAAGCTCGATTGTGCATGCATGGTGGCGGTGGGAAAGAGGTGCCAAGGAAAGTGTGTACATATTTTTGTTGAAAGCACGAGAATTCAAAGAAAGCTGGCTGCTTCCTCTATTTCCATGATCGGCCAGTGCCTGCAGCACGAACAGTACATTGTATTACATGTATTTGCATAGACAGACAAATAAACACTAACCTGAGCATGGGTACCGCTTATATTCGTGGTCAGGAAAGTGAAAGTACGAACGAAGGAGAAGAAGATTGTTGACCATGGCGAACAACTGCATATCCAGAGGGCACACGGCTTGCCAGAATGGGTCGGCTACATCTTCGCTAATTTTCTGTCCTAACAACATTCAGCTTCGAGGTCAAGGACGACGGCATTTTTGGAAAGAAATTTCGAATTTTGGAGAAGAAGCTTGCTTTCGGAAAAATGTTCCTTTCACGCAAGGCAGCATGCCAGGTCAGGCGTGTGAACCAGGTGAACTGTGTCGGCAGATCCACGTTTACGTTCCAGGCCGACAGTTTTTTGACCAAGCCGTGAATCGCCCTCGCTCTGACTCTCCCGGCTACGAAGGAGTAATTTTACAACTCTTCAGGCCAGCTACAGGTCTCTGATGCACAGCTGCAAGTGACGGATATCGGTCATTTGCAGCCACTACTAAGAGCCTCCTGGTCGTTGCAATCTGATACATAATATACCTCCGAGACCGGCCTTCCGCTGGTGTGAAGCAGGGAGTCGTAAAAGCCCGGGAGAGGACACGGGAAGCGCGCACGCGGACGATGTTTGCCTCGGCCAGAAAGTGAAGCACGCTAGGCCGGCGCGGCCGGATCAGCTCGATCCACGGCGCTGTGCTCGTCTTCAGGGCAGGGAGTCCTAAAATACCAATATTTTACAACTCGTTGTTGACACCATATCCGAAACGCTTGTGGCTCAATGTAGCTGAACCATCGGACCTTATTCGTCAGCTTGGGTCACGTGATCCATCCAGCTGCCGCGTGCGGCAAACAGCACGAATAGCGCTAACTCTGGCCTGCGAGCGTTTGCTGCGACTAGCGCGCTAGCGCTCGTGACATACACAAACGCGCTAGCCAGAACTAGAATGCTTTGACTTTGATGGCTTTCAGCTTCTATTTTTTGAAAAGTAGCGCGCTCAGACCAGCTCGCTCACTTGTTTCCTCTTCCATTTTTTAGGGCAATTGTTTGGTTTGATAAACGAAGCTTAGAGTCTCCTTGGGTTTGCAACCCTTACCCTCCTGGAAAAAGATCATGGTTGCAGTTGCTAGACAGACCAGGTACTATTAGAGCCGCTAATGGACGACGAGCTATTTTCCGCTATCCGGAGCTCGTGCTCAAGCATTTGAGCCTGATGGACGAGACTCCTGGGGTAAAGGATGCAGAGAATGAGGAGAAAACACTCGTATGGGCGCACTGAGAAGCGGTAAGTTGTAGGAAAATCGTAAGCAGTAACTAGCTTGTTATTTTTTATTGCTGCAAGTAGTAGGGGTGCCGAACATCCTCAATACCAGAGTACTAAGAGATAATTTGTTCCCAGAAACTCACAAAAGAAAGAGGTGAAGAGCGGCTGCGCGTTTTCTATTACCAAATAGAAGCCATTTCACCATCTCATTTTGCTTCCTCTATATCACACATGCCTACTTATTTCCTATAGTATTCTGTTTGGGTAGATGATGCTCGGTCTTGCCGCTAAACCTGCGAGCCATGGTCGGGGGAGGTAGGCTCAATTCATCAGCATGCTGCTCCGGCTCCCTTCTGCATTGCCCCGTTCTTCCCCTTGGTTATGTTTTCTCTTGACGTTCTCTGTTGGACTGTGCACTTCAGCGTAAAAAAATAAAAATAAACACAACAGCATCGAATACCGTACTGGCAATATATGTTGCCGCGTAACGCAGGGGGGGGGGGGGGGGGGGGGGGGGTGCGGCGTAACGCGCGACCATGCTAGTGCGACAAATTTTCGTTGCGTTCGTAACGCGCGTCCGGCGGGGTGCGGCGATCTTTTCATTGCAGTTTGCACTGCAAAGCCTGAAAACTGTGAAAGCACGTGTACCGCGTGGCAAAAAAAGGACTGCGGCAATATAGAAACCTGTGTAACGGCTCCTGTGCGACTTTGCATGTAACGCCCTGCATGCGGTAAACATGTGCCAATGTAACGCTTCATGGCCTCACTGCGACCATATATATTGCCAGAACGGTATGATCAACAGCGTCGAATATGGAGCCCGGGAACGGGAGCGAAACCGTACTACCGTGAAAATCGGGAGCCAACAGAAGGGTTTCATCTCTTCAGCTTTTTTTATATACCGTAGGCAGCACCTGACAAAACAGCTGAATTTGAGTGTCAACTGGCAAGTAATGCGCACCATGCCAACTTTGTGTATCTGAGCATTGCAAACAAGGCGTTGAAACTGAGTTGAATTTTAGCAGGCTTGAATTTCATATCAGGGAGGTTTAGTCGCAAATAATTGAGTTAAATCCGTGTATACTTTACGTGCGTTTTATTGACCCGCAGGCTCACATTATCTGACTGGTCAAGAACAGGGTGTGGGAGCTCACCCACACCAAATTGGCCATAGCGTAAGTCGGAAATTCAGAATGGAGCGCTTTGTGCAAGCTGTGAGAAATTTACGGAGAACAAAATAAAACTCCATTCACGGCTTCGTCTTCTCTTTCGATTCGTTTGTTATGGCACGCAGAATTTGCTTTTGAAGTCTTTCCTGTCGTTCTTCATTCGAGGCCTCACAGAGAAAGGGGCGGTAACCGGATACTTTGAAGAAAGTAGAGTAGAAAGTACTAGAAACCCTTACTCTAACTGTGGTGAATACATACCACAGACTCAGTAATGCATACTGTGCAGTGCGCACATTAGATACACGTAGGTCACGCCTGGCAGGTTGGGCAGCCGTAGTGTATGCGTATGTTCTGCATTTATTGAACTTGTGATCTTTTGTATTCCTTGATTACATGTTTTTTTGTAACTTGTAAGCTAGTTCAACATCAGATAAACTCAAGTCCTGTTGTGTTATGTGCTGTTTGCTTTTGTATGGAATCAAGCAAGAGTACGAGTGTGAGATTGCCTAATCACAGCCCGCCGCGCGAAGCGTGAAGGGCTGTGATGTAGGCTGATCGAACACGAGTAAGAGTGTTTTGATTACATTTCTGACATGCACCCACGCTTGAAACTCATATATATCGAACTTGTAAATACTTCGCGAAGGGCTGTGATTGGCTGATAGAACATGAACACGACTGTTTTGATTCGATTTCTGACAAGAACACACACTTCGATCTTACTATCGCGCTTGAAAGCACGACTCTCAACCTTCTCGAGCCCGAGTCGAGTAAAAAAACGAGCTTGATCACTAAATAAATCAAAGCCCTGGTGGAGCGGGCTTTGATCATAAAATCAAAGCCCGCCCGGGCCGCGTGCTTTGATGGGAAATTCAAAACCCGCTCCACTAAATATGGAGTTCTACTTCTTTTAGCACGCTTTGATCGCCTCATCTAGGCCCAGCTAGGTGCAATGCGATTGGTCATCTCCGTGCCTACAGTCTTGTGATAAGTCAGAAGGGTAGAAACAAAGCAGTAGCGAACTGATTTTTGTGCTAACGAGCGAGCTATCGAGTACTCTTTTTAACTGTTTTTATAGGTCCCTCAAGCCAGTGAATGTTTAAAGTTTAAACAAGAATATATTTATATACTCTTAGTATGAAGGAAGACTGCAGTAATTTAGTTTAACTCCTGGAATGGCAGTTGAAGCTGCAAGTCAGTGCAAGACAATAAAAAAGTACTGTTGCAGGGCAATAACTACAGGTATTGTACCGGTCGAGTCAATGCAACTTGCACTCAATAGTAGAATTGTTCAATACCGGCAGCAGGGGCGTCGGAAGGTATTTTAGTGTGGTACGGCCAGCCATCTGAAGTACAGCTTACTTGTGTGGGAGGGGTGGCTGAGCCAAAAAAATTGAACATTTATAGCCCAGATGACTGTTTTTATGAATTCACGGGGTACCTGTGGCAAAAAGTGGTACGGTCAATACCATAGCAGGGCATGCGCTAAGGATTAAAATGAGGTCTGATACAATGTCCTGCCAGTTGCAAAAATGGCCGGACATGTCCGCACATGCAAATTTTCACATCAAATCACACAATGTTCAATGTAGAATTAATACCATCGAAATGTTATCACGACGTGAAAAGAGCATTATTAAAATTGTTGTTACTGTTTTACCACTGCAAGCTTTGGCTGCTGCTGCGTCGTCAAGTTTGCACAAGGCTCGAGCGATTGGCGCATACTCTATTGGGTTTCCGCTTGACTGCTCCTTGCCAAACAATGCCATGGCACGGCGATGCATTTCAGAAGCAGCATGATCTTTGAAGGCTGACGTTTTCAGGTTCCTTGAGCCAACGACGAAGGAGTCAGAAAAATTCTTGCTGCTGCGAATTTTATCAACTAAACGGGAACACATCTTACACTTCAAATTTTCGACAACGCTACGATCTGAGGGACTGCGCTCATAGCTCAGCCAAACAGAAGTTGAAAGCTCCCTATCATACTTGGCGACCCACTTGTCACAAGTGGTCGTCTTGACTCCTCTGGGCTTCTTTCCAAGAGGAGCACCCGCATCAGCGGTGCTTGGCTTACTCTTGCCAGACGACATCACTAATGACTAGTACTATGAGACAAAGGATTGACGTGCCTTTTCTTTTTTGTACTTTGCAAAAAAGTGCGCGGACACTTTGTCCGGGTGTGTACAAAATATCTGGAAACTGACCGTAAACGGTCGGACATTTTCCCATGTCCAACCGTTATTTCGCGCCCTGCCATAGTGACTGTACCGTGTCAGACGCCCCTGACCTGCAGTGTCTGTAGTCTGCGCTTGTGCACTTTCCAGACATGCAACGATCACGTATATTCGCATACCCCTAACGATCTAGGCAATATGGGTTGCATAGCTTCAGGAATAAAGCTATTTTCACATGGTTTTGCCGGGAAAGTTATGAGAATGGAAGTTTTCATGACAACGCTTAGATACAAGCTCCTATCTATTGTTGATGGAGTCACTTTGTCTGACAGGATGTGACCGGACCAGGTGTGTTCTCTAGGATAGCGAGGCCCGGCATCATCGTGATAGAGTCCAATATCTGCTTTGCTGATATGCGCAGAGAGCTCATTGGACAATTCATGTAGAAATTACAAGTATGCACCGACCAATTCTCAGGTCTCCGCACAGTCGTAACATCCCATGGTGACATCGCAGTTTGAGTCTTTGTTTCATTTCACTCATGGGTGTTCAGTTGCGGTTTTCTCACTTTCGCTGATCAGAAGTTGTATGTATTATTGCCTGCTTCCACTTGCTTGGGCTGCGTGTCTATGCACAGGTGCGTGTGGACACAGGTGTCAAAGATGGCGCCACCATCAGCACGTTCTACAACCCGATATTCTGAAAGGTGTGTGCATTATGAAGTGACCTTATTGCTGTCCAATGCCCTTCTCTATTCACGTGTTCACCTGTTTATTTGTAGTCGACATTCGGTTGCTTATGTCGTCAACTTGATGCGACGTTTCTATGTCTAGCTTATGGGACGAACTATTCTCCTCAAAGCGACCGCGCCACACAACAAAATGCCAATTTGTTTGTTTTATAGACAGTATAATTTAGTTCCTTCTCTGAGGAGACGACGAGACAACTGACACCGAGACCAGACAAGGGAATATATTGTGAAGACGTGAGGAAGAGTGCGGTGGTGGATGCGAAATTGGTGCCTGTGCGTAATAAAGCCAGTCCCGAACGGGAAGGGAGACAAAGACGGCAGACGATCAAATACGACGGAGACAAGACCAAATACGGCAGAGACAAGACGGCAACCAGACGAGTACAACGTAGACAGGACAAGAAAATGCGCATACAACGGGGACAAGACGAGAAAGAGTGCATACGGAGGGGACAGAAGACGGTGCAGCCTAATGTACAAAGCATTCAAAGACAACGCAGCAGCATGTACAACAAAGAGACACAAACGCAACAGCAGATACGACAAAGAGACACAAATGCAGCAGCATGTACAACACTCATGTAGTAGCTGGCCCCGGAGGCAATCACTCACAAAACGCTCACTCAGTTAGTTTACCAATTGTAAATAGGAAACACTCACAAGTCACATACACACTGCAAAGAAAGTAAAAGAAGACAAGAAAAGAAAGAGAAAGCAGGGGAACATAAACTCCACAACCGGCAGCCATGTTTACCTGGCAGCGAGGGCGACGTAACTGTGGGCCGGTGGTCAAAATAATACCATGCAGCGTACAAGCCTGGGCCATAAGGACCCGCCAGGCATTGTATGCAACCATGGCAACCTGTGGCGTGTAGCTTATGTCTCGTAAACTTGTGTATGCCTTGGCAGCCCGTGAGGAATAATTCAGGGAAAGAGGGGGCAGTTACAGGGAATGTCAGGGAATGTTACAGGGGCAGCCCCCCCCCCCCCCCTCCCCTGATAGCACGCCACCTTACTCATCTTTCGATTTTTGTGGGTTTTTTCAGTTCACACAACAAAAATGCGGCTACAAATCAATCGTTCCTGGTGCTCACTGCCCCCATACGATGGATTTTGTGTAACCAGGCAGTAATGGAACATGGAGAAATGGGTTGACCCACCCCCACTGAAATTTTCATGGCTAGAACCCTGCCTATACTGTACATGCTCTCACTCACAATCGGGCGTATACACATACACTCACACCAGTGGACTCGGATGGAGAGCCAAGGATAAATTTATAGAAAGAAAAAGGACCAGCGGTGCCATTGCTGGTGTTGCCGTCCTGACGTAGCGCTACCGACAGAGAATGCACTTGCTCCTGTGCTCTTTGACTGCTGCATTGCCTTTGACTACCCAGTATTCACCAGCGAGCAGTGATAGGGAGTGGTTCGTACCGACGGCATGATTGGCGTTTGCGTCGGCTGCTGCGATGATTAGCCTTGTTCTGTGACTTCTCGGTAAAATTACTGGTGTCCGAATGCCGGTTGGTAGATGGTGTGCAGTGCGAAGTCTCCCATTGACCTTTAGAACACCAGCGCCACTAGTTGCGTCTAGTACTGGTTGAAGCTTTTGTAGCGGTGAGGATGCTGAGCGGCCCTTGCCTCCTGTGAAATCTGCAAACGTTCTGCCATAAACCTCTCGCTGAGCCAAGCTGATCCATACACACTTAGCACTCCATAGCTCGGGCACTGTCAACTCTGGCACGGAGACGTTTCTCCCAGTTGGTAAAGTTATGGACTTGGTCGCAATCTCAGGACTGGCGGCTTGCGTGCTGCGTCGCCTAGCATTGTTGACGAATCGTCGGCACCATGTGGTTATCCATACGAGGTGATCCCAGAAAGAGAAATGGTCTGGATGAAGACGGCTTGTGGGCAGCTCTTGCGTAGTGGCCACCATCGTGATCTCTCGTTTCAATTGACCTGGAAGCTCTGCTGGTAGCACAATGTACTTACTGGGCCATGTGGAGGTGGGCTTGGACAAGAAGGCTGGACCTGTCCACCATGTTGCATCACCGGCCAGCTGTGTCGCACCAACACCTCGACTTGGCATATCAGCAGGGTTGACTGTGGTGCTGACGTGACACCATTGACTTACATTACTGAACTCTTGGATCTCCGAGATGCGGTTTCCGACTTCGATCTTGAATTTCCTGCTGGGCGATCTTACCCAGTACAACACATTCATCGAGTCAGTGTAGAAGTACTGCCGTGATACAGGAACATCAAGTGCCTCACCCACTGAGCAGCTCAACCGAGTGCCTAGCACTGCACCTTGCAGTTCCAGCATGGGGTGGTCTTGCGCTTGATAGGTGTTGGTCTTGCCTTGGCGAGCGCTGATGTCACCTTTGCAGTCCCGTCATCACGCTCTTGTCGGGCGTACGTCACGGCGGCGTAAGCTGATGCAGACGCGTTTGTGAAAGTGTGGAGTGCAGAGGCTGATCTGAACTGATCTCAGTGAAGCATCGGCTTGCCTTCACATCTCTCAGACTTGGGAACTCTGAGAACCATTGCTTCCACTCTGATGCTTGACCACTGTCCAGATGATTATCCCAGTCTGTTCCACGGATGCAGGTGGTTTGGAAGAGAACGCGACTGCGGATGGTGAATGGACACAGGTGGCAGTTCACTGCTGGCTTTGGTCATCATCTTGTTGCTGGCTCGATCTTCCGGTGGGATGGAATCCAACACCGCTTCCGTATTGCTCATCCACTTCCGCAAGTGAAAACCACCACGCTGTGAAACTTGTTGAAGATCACGCCGAGTGACGATTGCAGATTGTACTGACGGTAGCGACATCAGCAAGTCGTCCACTTAGAAGTTGTCATCAATGGCCTTTGCTACCTCAGCGCCAGCCTCGCCACTGAATTTCTCTGCCGTTGCTTTCCGTGCTCTTCCTGCGAGGTAAGGTGATGCACGCATGCCGAATACAACCCGGCAGAACTCAAAGAACACCACTGGGTCCTGTGGTGACTCACTCCACATGAACCGATGGTACTTGCGATCCGTCTCGCGCAGCTCGACTTGTAAGAACATCTCAGAGATATCTGCGGCGAGTGCGATCGGCTGATGACAGAAGCGGAGTAAAACTTTCACGAAGTCACTCTCTGTGTTGCCACACCTGCCGACATGTCAGTAGCCTGCAGATTTTGGAGGCATATCCCGACCCGCCGACAATTGACCTTTTCCGAGGGCCTGCCGACAGACATGAAAATGTCCCATTTTATCGTTGTGCTTCGTTTAGAACTAAATTAGAAGTCATGATCCAGATTTTTGCTTTTACTGGTCATCATGTTTGTTTCCATTGCTCTCTCATCTCCTAATAAGGTGCTACGTCAGGCGAAATTACTGGTCAGTCGGCGACACGCATTTTTCACAAAAATTTGCGTTTCACCTGCTGGGAGAGTATGCGTGTACTCGAGTCTCATCCTGAGCACGTTTTTTTCTTCTTTTTTCAGCTCCAGTATAGCTGTATTTTCATTGCAAAGCCGTCCTCGATTGTTGTGTTCGTTGTTCAAACGAAGTGGACATTCAATCATGAAGGCAGAGGACATAGGAGCCTGATTCGGGTAACCGGAGTAAGTGCCAATTGATGTTTTTGGCTCCAGTCAGTCAAGTGATTCAATTGCAATAAAATTATATACGTACGGTGGAACTCACTTAGTACGTACCCGGGTACGACATACACCTGCATAGTACGGTCCTCTTTTGTCGCACGGATTTTCCTCCCATAAGCGCATACTCAGATGTGTACGGATAAGACTGCTTCCTTCTGTTCATGTGATTCATTGTCGCTGTGTTACTGTATGCAGATCTCACTCAGCTCTGCTCTCCGAGCATTCTGCTTCCAACACGCCGTGACTTCCCGAAAGGTATGTATGGTGGCTAATAATGCGAGAGTCTTTACAGATTCCAGTGCTCTCATGCCTTTTGCAAGTTCCTTTTGTAAGTCAAATGGAACATGGTTTGTGGTCAATACTTCAGCAGTAGTGGTGCGAGAATATTCGGGTGTCAAATTGTTCGGAATTGATGTATGATAACGGAGAATATACCAACATGTGAATCACTTGGAGATTGGTTTGCCAGGTTCTGCTCACACTCACTAGGCTAGACCCTCTCGAATATTGTACAACAGTTCTAGCCCAGGAGTAGTAAAGGGCACCGGGCAAGCTATGTCGGGACCTGCTGTAAAGTCCGCCATACACGAGCTGTACGTCTTATCGGATGGGATATACCCCTGATATTGCTGATAACGAATGGCCCAGTTTCATTGTACTGCTGTCCGCGATATTATATCCTTAGTGGCATTGTTAACTTCTCATTGCTTGTGGGGACGCATGGATCATACGGCCATCCAGCACCTGCCAATCGGAACCCACCAACAACGCTGTCGGTTGGGTTGGACCACAATCGGTTGGTTTTTGAGTCCAAGATGCCGCCTAGGTAGCACACAGCATTGCTAATCTGATTTGAAATTAGCTGCGCAAATCCTGGCATACTGCCCGTAAATGCATCTAACTCCCAGGGTGCTTATGAGTTTTTAGGTCTATGTGGTACTTGTGTTGCATTGGCAGTCACTGTTCCGTTCTGTATTTTCTGGTGTATGTGTCGTTGAATCTCCACAGAAAATGTGCTCACGCATTAGAAGGAGGTGAAAGATGCACCTGCAGGAGAATACATGCTGAAGAGAAGGCAGAAACATGCCCGGATCCACCAGAACTAGTGCTGGCAAGTCAACAGAGGCGAGTACTGATAATGTTCCAGATTGTGGTAGGATCACATAAGCAAAATTGACACTGGGAGGCACGACGGTGGGTCAGCTCATGGCCAGCGCCAATTCCAGTGGATATCACGTGCATCCAGTTCTAGTACTATAGTATGACTGCTACAAAGTAGTGCGGCCCAAATAGAACTCGGGTCAGGTGCCGAAGAACTGGAGGGGGGGGGGGGGGGGACATGTGTCGATGAACGGTAATCCCGGAAATCATGCTGGTGTATCGAGGGCATTGGCCAATGAAGTGCTGGATTGATGGTGGACGACTGTACTGCAATCTTAGCTGGTCCCCCTATCGCAGAGACAGCACTTCCTGGTGCAACCACCCTATCCTGCAATCTATATAATAATTATTATAAGAGATTTGTGTGAACGATTTTAGCATGATGCAAGTCATCTTATTGTGCTGGGGGGCTGGCTACATGTCACTATAGCTGTTTATAGACTCAATCACCGCATTACGCTGCCTTGTGTTGACTTGATTGAGCACTCTTTTTGGTTAGTGTCAAAGGTATATGTAATATGTATCTGCCTTCGTGCAAAGCTCTCTTTGTACGTGTCTTGCAGATAGCTCGCTGACTTTGATGCTTTGAGCCATTTTCAAATTGCTTTTTTTGTTCATTTCATATAGACCGTATTGCCATATGTTTAACTCCCGCTCTGAGCTCCACTGATGAGACCTAAAAAGTTCGAAACAGCTGTCCGGAGATTGAGCGTCAGTATTATGGATTTATAATACACGATCTGGGGACAGCACTAGTACTGTCTAGCTGTTTCGTCCTTTGTGGACTCATCAGCGAATCACGGAGAAATAACTCTCAACTAAGGATGAACCTAGCAGCCATGAAAATAGATAAATAATGCCTCCAAGCCAGAATTCAAGGCTACATGTGTAGGCCCGAATGTGCCTCGCCCGAGTGCTCAAACTGATAAGTCATTGAGATACGCATAGAACATCTGGCAAAGCAACTACTAAAGCCCCCACGAGCACGATATTCTACTTCAACAAGGAAGAATTTTGAAAGCATGCACAGCCCTACATGTATAATGGTATAGGTAAGCCTTGTTTGATAAATTAACATGTTGATCGGTTGACAGCATGTTACAAGGCGGGGGACGCACTGTGTTAATGATAGCTTGCATACCGTCCTACCGGTAGGACCACAGGTCCTACCGGTAGGACCCAAGAAATCAATGTGCAAAAGGGCTTTTGGTTGAGAAATTTCTTGAAACAATTGTGGAGATGAGGTCTTTGTCAGGCAAAGTAATGGCGCAAAATGCAAGGCTATGTCCAGTGCACTGCGTATGCGCAATTTTATCGATTGTCAAAATGGCCGCACATAATCCTGTTGGTGCGCTAGCAACTCTGTCCAAAGTGAATTTTGACCATGGCACATCAATCGCGGTGAGGTCCTAATGTTTATATTAACTTGTCAAGGCAGTGGAATGCATAATTCCATGCACCGTTTCCATGGTTACCATGGGCTGTTACCATAGAATTTCGTAGTATGCCTTGTGCGATCACGTCTAAAATTTGTGGACTCCTTCATTAGCCCCTGAGCTACAGCTTAGGGTCAAGTTTTAGGTCAATGTTAGAACAGAGGCCATGCAGCATGTCTGTGTATGATGGTCCTACCGGTAGGACCGAGGTCTATGCAAGCTATCATTAAAAAACAGTGCTCCTGATACACTAGTGTGTCCTTGGCTTTGTCACATGCTGTCAACCGATCAACACATACAACGTTGCATGCAAAACGGCTGCAGCCTCGAAGTACGGAGTGCTATTTTGGAAATTGCTAGATAAACAGCCTGCACTTATACAGGTGTCAACTAGTGCCATTGTGCCATTGTGACAACGGTAGCTGAATGATACATGTACATAAACCCGGGGTCATCATTGCAAGAACCTCTGGGTCTAAGCCCGAAGTAAAATTCAACTACATGACTGTATACACCATCATGTATACGCCATCTTCGTAGTAACTGAGTCTACCCCTCACCCACTACTGCCAATGTGACCACAAGTGCGCACAATTAGAGGACCTTAGAGGACCTACTTCTAACTACAGTGCTGGCCAAAGAAATCCAACCTTATGAATAAAATTGCACCGGGCGCTACGCAGCCCTAGTAGTATACATACTGGACCGGTCTGTGCTCTCAGCCGCGGCGCTACTTTATTAACGAGGTTGGATTTCTCTGGCCAGCACTGTACAAAACACACACATGCACCCACAACACTGCTAGGCTTTCCACCACACTAGGTTTCGAAACCGAAGAGGGGCAAAATTCAGGGCCAGACTAGAAAATCTGGGGAGACATGATGGTTTTTTTAAGCAAAACACAGTCAACACTCTGCAGCCTCAGGCAGGTTTTCATGAGTGCACAAAATTAAAAAAGTGTTGATGCACCACGAATACTGTCGGGCAACACAGAACGTGGGACCCAGGAATGTACGTGTACACCTCTAGGAACACCACACCCAAGAAACGCAGTGTCAATTGACTCAAGTCTCTGCTTCTCGCTCCACATACACCGACATAACGACATGGACCCAGACAACAGAGGCAGGAGCACACAGAGTGAGGGAAGTAGGCCGCAGCCAGATGTGAACCGGAATGCAGAAGAAAACTAGGAGCAACAACAGGGGGACAGATCCCAGGAGGAAGGAATTAATACATTCATCTAACATAAAGAAGCCAGGACAAGCACCACTTGGGACCGTCAGATTAATTTCTCTGGACCGAGCCAGCCGGGAAAAACCCTCGCGCCGACGGACGCACGAATGAGGGAAAAACCGGGTGTATAACCCCAAGTGGCAACATGGCAGCATAAAAACAGGCACAACATATCTACAGCCAAGAAAGAAATGGAAGAAGATGAAAGTCAAGGAACTAAGCCTAAGGCCAGATTGCTGAAAGGTTTTGTATAACTGACGAGCCTGACCCCTTGGAAACAACAGTCGTGGATGCGTGGCTCTACTGTAATAAATGTAGAGGTACACAAACAATTTGAATGCAGAAATAACAACAACAAACAGGGAGAGGTGTAGGAAAATATACTCGGATCCTAGTGAATTTGCTTGTGTATTAGCTTGAAAACTTTGGGTACACTTGTTGAGAGACCTATTGCATGCAGCTAAAATATGGAGTACCGTTGTCACCGACAACTTTTCCAGTAAAGTCGCGGCTAACATCTTCTCAGGTATTCCCGGGTCTTCGCTAAGGGGGAATGATATCATGTGCGTCTTCTATTGCTGATGTCGCTACGCTCAATGGTAGTGCTGATGTACTGATCGTGGTGGAAGATATTGAGATGCCGTATGTCTCGAACCTTTTCGCCAAGTCTCGCCATCGCGCAAGAGGGTCGGGAGCACCACAACTGCAACGCCACAGATCCAAGGATCGATTCTCGGACAAAACATTCTTCAGATTGCCAAAGGTCCCCAGTGCTTGGCAATACTGGCCTGTACAGCATGAACACACCACACATACGCCCACACACCATGTACCATGTAAACGCCCGTTGCAGAGAAGCACGCAAATCTGCAAATGAATTGGATGTGCACCCACAGATTCTCGTATAGGAACAATAGCTGATCTGAATCTGAATAAAACAGATCAAGACTAGTGCCAGATAACGATCTAATCCGCACAAGGCAACTGGCGCAGCCATGTGAATCGAACAAAATTGACAAACATGTCCCCAATTATCAGCAAACGGGTGTGCGTTACAGGATTGGCCTGGCAACTTCAAACAGGCACAATCCACTAACGTGGTGCCCCGTCAACTTCAACGGGAACACACCAATACAAACACAGCCCCACAACAGCAAAACGGGTCCCCTGGCAACTTAACGGGAACGCACCAACACAAGCTGGCCTGGCACCTTCAAACAGGCACAACTGACAAAACACGGCATCCGGCAACAGCAAATGGGTAGGTACACCGTTACAAGAACAGTCCATCGCACCAAAATGCTGCTGCCACAACATTATAGCAGCAGCATGCCAGACATGCATACATGGTATTCCCAAAAGCAGATACCTGGAGTCAAATTCATCCATCACACTGTTTGTTAGGGCTCAATTTTCCAGTGACAATAGCAAATCCCACCTAAGGCACATGTGATGAGATCTGTACACCAACTATAGTCACAGAATCAATGCACATTAGTAGAGCATAATAAATAACTCACTTGCGCTCATTCCCTGTCACGTAGAGATGCTACTCTACTTTTACTGTTCCGATGTCCATTGGGGTGGTATGCCGGCCACTTGCCAGACGTAGAGCTTTGAAGCCGTACTTTGCCACCGTCTGCTTGCCGTATCACCACCTCACTTGCAACTCTGGATTCCAGGACTGTCGCTCCAACAATGGGCATGGAGCGGGAGCTAACCTGATAACAGTTGAGAGCGTGACAGAGTATCTTATTTAAATAAGGCCGAGTAAGGTGGATCCCTTTGACAAAAGTGAACACAGGCTTAGTGCTACAGGCATGGGCTGTCATGTACCAGAATAGCCAATACCGGGCATGTTTCGTCGACAGTAGATGGAACTGCGACGGCTCCACCGTATATGGCCGCGTCTTAGTGACCTTCAGGCGCAACGTGACCAAGTCAGGTGCGAGACTCCCAGCCTCCCACACAAATACTCTTTGGCTGTCACACGAGTGAATACTAGTAGATGATGCTAAATACTCGCTGGCAAACAATAAGCCATAGAAGGCCAGTAGTACACTTACCCACAGCATAGCCTGATCTACAATATGACTGCTTTGATCGTTGTAACTATTGCCGAAAATGGATTAAGTCGTCCACTAAAAGCTCTTTGAAACTCCGATGTTGAGCCAATATGGCAATAATAAAATTAATGTAGAAAGGAAAAGGACGTATGGATACGAGTGTAGAGTAACTGTCACTACATACTAAATACAGTCAGAAAGTGCAACAACTAGGCACTAAAACATTTGACGACCTGGCTCCTGGCTTCAACACATCTCCGTAGTGCTAACCAACAGCCTTCCAACTCGGAACGTTCAAGGTTAAGGAGAGACCAAAGAGGGAAAGGTAATACTGGTTTCGTCATCGTCCAGTAACAATCAACATTTCTTGTTCCTGTGGGACTGTAGCTTCAACTACTAGCTTGTGCTCATTTTCGTTGCGCTTACCTTCCCCTCTTTGGTCTCTCCTTTTAACCTTGAACCTTCCAAGTTGGAAGGCTTTTGGGTAGCGCTACAGAGATGTGTTGAAGCTAGGAGTCAGGTCGTCGAATGTCTAAGCACTCTGTCCAGCCTTCCAACTTCGAAGGTTCAAGGTTAAAAGGAGAGACCAAAGAGGGGAAGGTAAGCGCAACAAAAATGAGCACAAGCTAGTTTTGTGCCTAGTTGTTGCATTTTTTTTACTGTAGTATCTAGTTACAGTGGTGGGCAGTTACTCTTAACTCGTATCCATATGTCCTTTTCCTTTCTACTAAAAGCTCTATCCGCGAATATGCCGAGGCGGCTTGCCATCTCTCTCTATGCCATGCAACACCGCTGTTGAGCGAGCAGCTTTTAGGCCAGCTCCATTGCACAACAGGTATTAGGCTACTAATAGCATAACGCAGCTAGGTAAACACGAATCGATGAAAGAGGCAGACTTCTTAGAACAAAGAGACTAGTTGAACACAAC